GCAAGAAGGGCGACGGTGTTGATGAGGGCTTTGTCTGCCCCGATGAGTGGCTCGAGACCCCGCTGAACCAGGGTCTGAGCAGCTCTGACATCGAGCCTCGCCGCAAGCGCACTGGCTGGAACGAGCTGGTGACGGAGAAGACCAACATCTTCATCCAGTTCATCGGTTACTTCCGAGGCCCCATTCTGTATGGTACGTGGTCAATTCCCGATTCGCCACCCTTTGACGCGTGATACTAACGCGTTTTGCTTGCCCACAGTCATGGAACTCGCTGTTCTACTCGCTGCTGGTCTGCGTGACTGGATTGATTTGGGTGTTATTTGCGGTATCTTGTTGCTGAACGCCCTGGTCGGTTGGTACCAGGAGAAGCAGGCTGCCGACGTGGTGGCTTCGCTCAAGGGTGACATCGCCATGCGCGCTGTCGTTGTCCGTAACGGTCAGGAGGAGGAAATCCTGGCCCGTGAACTCGTTCCTGGTGACATTGTATGTTTTTTGCCCCTTCACTCTCTGCCATTGAGGCGCCTGCTGACAGCCCATATAGGTCATTCTTGAGGAAGGCCAGGTTGTCCCCGCTGATGTCCGTCTGATCTGTGACTACTCCAAGCCCGAGAACTACGAGACCTACAAGGAGTACCTTGCCAACGCCAACGACGACACCCTCAAGGAGAAGGCCGAGGATGACGACGAGGATGCCCGCGAGGTCCACCAGGGTGTCTCTCTCGTTGCTGCTGACCAGTCTGCCATCACCGGTGAATCGCTCGCTGTCGACAAGTACATGGCTGATACCTGCTACTACACCACTGGTTGCAAGCGTGGCAAGGCCTACGGTATTGTCACTGCCACTGCCCGCCACTCGTTCGTCGGTAAGACCGCCGCTCTGGTCCAGGGCGCCAAGGACCAGGGTCACTTCAAGGCTGTCATGGACAACATCGGTACCTCGCTCCTCGTTCTGGTCATGTTCTGGATTCTCGCCGCCTGGATTGGTGGTTTCTTCCGTCACCTGAAGATCGCCACCCCTGAGGACAGCGACAACAACTTGCTCCACTACACTCTGATTCTCCTGATCATCGGTGTCCCCGTCGGTCTGCCTGTCGTCACCACCACCACCCTGGCTGTCGGTGCCGCCTACCTGGCTGAGCAGAAGGCTATTGTCCAGAAGCTCACCGCCATCGAGTCCCTCGCTGGTGTCGACATTCTGTGCTCCGACAAGACCGGTACCCTGACTGCCAACCAGCTGTCCATCCGTGAGCCTTACTGCGCCGAGGGTGTTGATGTCAACTGGATGATGGCCGTCGCCGCCATTGCCTCGTCCCACAACGTCAAGAACCTGGACCCCATTGACAAGGTCACCGTCCTGACTCTCCGCCGCTACCCCAAGGCCCGTGAAATTCTCTCGCGTAACTGGATTACCGAGAAGTACACTCCTTTCGACCCCGTCTCCAAGCGTATCACCACTGTCTGCACCTGCGACGGTGTCCGCTACACTTGCGCCAAGGGTGCCCCCAAGGCGATCCTGAACCTGTCTGAATGCACCGAGGAGGAGGCCAAGCACTACCGTGACAAGGCCACCGAGTTCGCTCGCCGTGGTTTCCGTTCGCTCGGTGTTGCCGTCCAGAAGGAGGGTGAGCCGTGGCAGCTGCTGGGCATGTACCCCATGTTCGACCCCCCTCGTGAGGATACCGCCCACACCATCGCTGAGGCCCAGCACCTGGGTCTGTCCGTCAAGATGTTGACTGGTGACGCCATCGCTATCGCCAAGGAGACGTGCAAGATGCTTGCCCTCGGTACCAAGGTCTACAACTCTGAGCGCCTCATCCACGGTGGTCTGGCTGGCTCCGCCCAGCACGACCTGGTCGAGAAGGCCGATGGTTTCGCCGAGGTCTTCCCCGAGCACAAGTACCAGGTCGTGGAGATGCTCCAGCAGCGTGGCCACTTGACTGCCATGACTGGTGACGGTGTCAACGACGCTCCCTCCCTGAAGAAGGCCGACTGCGGTATTGCCGTCGAGGGCTCCACCGAGGCCGCTCAGGCCGCTGCCGATATTGTCTTCCTGGCCCCCGGTCTGTCTACCATCGTCGATGCCATCAAGCTGGCCCGTCAGATCTTCCAGCGCATGAAGGCTTACATCCAGTACCGTATCGCCCTGTGCCTGCACCTCGAGATCTACCTGGTCACCTCGATGATCATCATCGACGAGACCGTCCGCTCCGAGCTGATTGTCTTCATTGCCCTCTTCGCTGATCTTGCCACCATCGCCGTCGCCTACGACAACGCTCACTTCGAAGCCCGCCCCGTCGAGTGGCAGCTGCCCAAGATCTGGGTCATCTCCATTGTCCTGGGTATCCTGCTCGCCGCCGCCACCTGGATCATCCGCGCCTCGCTCTTCCTGGAGAACGGTGGTATCATCCAGAACTACGGTTCCCCCCAGGCCATCCTGTTCCTCGAGATTGCCCTGACTGAGAACTGGCTCATCTTCGTTACCCGTGGCGGCAAGACCTGGCCCTCGTGGCAGCTGGTTGGTGCCATCTTCGTTGTCGATGTCCTGGCCACCCTCTTCTGTGTCTTCGGCTGGCTCGCCGGCGACTGGCACCAGACCCACCCCAAGGACCCTGCTGGCCCGAACTTCTCGGTCAACAACGATGTCGACATTGTCACTGTCGTTGTCATCTGGGGCTACTCCATTGGTGTGACCATCATCATCGCTGTGGTGTACTACCTCCTGACCATCGTCCCCGCTCTGGACAACCTTGGCCGCAAGACCCGCTCCAAGGCCGACACCCAGATCGAGAACATGATCGCCCACCTGTCCAAGCTGGCCATCGAGCACGAGGTGCTGGATGATGGCAAGTCCCACTACACCCTCGGCGCTCGCGCTGTGGATGTTGAGGACGACGAGTAGATTATTACTCGTGCCCCATCTTGCCACGCTTTTCCGGGCTCGATACTGAACCGAGGCCCCTCTCTTTTATTTTTTTCCTTTTTTCTCTCTCTCGTGACCCCTTTGCGATAATACCACACACAAATCGCCTATGCTGCCATCTATCTGGAGACATGCATGCCCGTGGGAGAGCTGAAAAAAAGGGGACGGTCCCGTCTTTTCTTTTTCTCTCTTCCTTTCTTCCGTATCATAGACTTTGTGTTTCATTTACCCCTTGATCTCCATTTGCTCCCGGGTTGATAAGAGTCAAGTTTTCTTTCTCTACGTGTATGTATGTCATTAATAGTGGTACTTAGTCAATCAACAAGGGATTCTAATGATTTTGTTCACAATAATTTCTCACTAAATCTAATTTTTGACTGCGAGTGTAGCTCTCGAGCTCTCTCTTCCTACAGGCGGAAGTCATTTCTCCGTCGCATTTCCGTCCCCCGTACCCCGGCGGTTCTCCACGCGGGGGATACAGTCCCTGTCTTCAACCGGTCAATGTGTGGAGAAGATGATGGACCATGCAACTTGACTTCTCGACTTCTCGCTGGTGGAGCTCTCGCCCTGGCGATTTGGCCTACCCAAGTAGCGCCAACTTAGATGAGACGAGAAGATTTTCCGTCCGTTCCTGCACCGCAATGACTTCCGGTCTATGTACTCGCGTCCAGTGGTGTATATAAGAACGGACTCTTCCATCGAGCTTTGCATTGCACCGAAAAATCCCATGGCTGCCAACATGGCCCGTCTACACCTCCTGTCTCTTCTCATTCTAGCCATCCACACCATCTGGGCACACTCCGCCGCCATCCAGCAGCAGCACCAGAAGCAGCACAGCAGCACATCCCGCCAACAATGCCAGGCCTCTAGCACCCACTGCCCGGACGGGACAATCGTCGTCTCAGCATCAGACAAACAGGCCGACTTCACAACCATCCAAGCAGCAATTAACTCCCTCCCCAACGACGCATCCACCCAAACAATCCTCATCCTCGCCGGCTCCTACAAGGAACAACTCAACATCACCCGCTCCGGCCCAATCACCCTCCTCGGCGAGACCACTTCCCCATCCGACGCAGCGGCCAACCTCGTCACCATCACCTGGGACGCAGCGAACAAGGACAGCACGGGCCAGAGCGTCGACAATGTCTACTCGAGCGTGATGATCGTTTCGCCAACCCTGGATGCGAGTCTTACGGGCTCCGGCACCACGGGTTACCCCGTGCCGGACGACACGCCGTTTGGGAATCGTGATTTCCGCGCTTATAATATCGACTTCACGAATACGTATGCCGAGTATTCAGCTGGGCCGGCGCATGCGCTGAGCTTTAGTCGTGCTAATGGCGGGTTCTATTATTGCGGGTTCTACTCGTATCAGGATACTGTCAGTCTATCCCTTTCAAAGTGTTCTTTACTTGATCCGCAATAAGCAATTCCAAAACTAACCGTCATAACTAGATCTACGTGGGCAAACTGGGAAATGCATACTTCTACAAGAGCATTCTGGCCGGCCAAACGGACTTCTTATACGGCTTCGGCACAGCCTGGATCCAATCTTCCGAAGTCCTCCTGCGCGGATGCGGCGGCGGAATCACAGCGTGGAAAGGCACCAACACAACCTTTGAAAACAAGTACGGGGTTTACATCGTCGACTCGAATGTGCATGCGGCAAACGCCTCCGTCGCCGCGGAGGTCAAGGGTACCTGCGCGCTCGGCCGGCCGTGGAACAGCCAGCAGCGGTCCATCTTTGCGCGTACCTACGAAGATGCTAGTATTGAGCCGAGCGGGTATATTGATTGGATTGTTGATGGCGTCGGTCGCTATGAGCCCGGGATTACTTTCATGGCGGAGTATGATGTCTTCGGGCCTGGTTTTAATAGGACCGGTCGTGTTGATGGTGGTGTTGATACCCTGCTCGATACTCGGGGTTATGAGCCGTATAGCACGCCGGCAGCGGTGTTCCAGGATCAGGAGGGCCGGTTTGGGGATGTGCAGTGGATTGATTGGGAGACTGTACAGCGAGGAGGACATTGATGATGTAGAAGGTACAAGCTTTGATTTTGAAAAAAGAATCTGTTCGTCATCCACAAGATCCATACACATTTAGTCCTTCACCGAGCACATCCTGACACCCGCTCCTCTTCCGGTCCCGACTGCTCCTCGTCTCCGTCTCACCCATCACATCTTTCTGCACATCATCGCCTAGTCCGGGAACATGAATCCCCTCCACAACACCCTTCCCCTTCCCTACCTCTCCAGTGACCAGCTCGCCCAACCTCCCCATTCGGGCCAGATACGCGGCACCCGTATCAGCCCAAACCCTATACTCCCAAACAAGCAACCTTCCCTTCTTCCCGGGGTCACTGCTCACATCGGTCGCCAACGCAAGGCGGTACATGAAAGTCTCATCCCATGCCTGGCCGGTGGCCTTCCATTTAAAAGTTGCAGACCCGCGCAGCGAGACGCACATGCATGCGTCATCGACGAGCCAGTTGTCGTCTGGTTCAAAGGTCACGGCTGTGATCTCTAGTAGGTCCGCGAGGAGCTCGAAGTACCGCGCTACTCCGTCTGTGCCGCTGAAGGAGTGACCGAGGAAGGGGGCTAACTGGGGGAGGCCGTGTTCGTGGACTAGCGGTGTTGGTTGTGTGGTGAAGGTTGAGAGGAGGGTTGAGACCGGTGCGTGCGTGGTGAAGGCGTTGCAGAGGGAGAGGACGGGTTCGAGGAGTGTGATTCTTGATGTCATCTTTTTGGTTTGTTTCTGGTTGTAGATAGGGTTGAGGTTGAAACAGAGTTGGTATATAGTTGCAGCACAGCAAAGCCCTTACATAACCATGACGTTGATCAAATGGGTTCGATTCTAGGTATTCCATGAAGGTGGTAGAAAATCGATCATCGCCTAGATTCAAAATGTGTTTTCAACTCCAGAACCACCGCCAGAGCCCAGATCGCAAAAAACGCAGTCGGAAATGAGCAAAACGCAAGGCAAAAACACCGAGTCCACTCCCCGAAAACGACAGGAAAAAAGAAAGATAATACACTTCTGTCTCTACCCAGTTGTCAAAGATTCACTGCCGCCACGACTTGCCGCAGTTCAGGCATGTACAGAATAGCGTCATCGGCTCGTCGGCGCTGCGCGTCTGGGCCTCGGTGTAGGTCACCTTGCGCTGGCCGCACTTGCCGCACTGCAAGCTGGTACTGATGCTGCGCTCGGCCTGCGCAACCATGGCCTTGTCCATGTTCTCCTTCTTGATCTTTTCGTCGGCGTCGCGCTGCTCCGCAGAGCGCAGCTCGTCGTGTGTCATGCGGATAAAATGGTCCGGGGTGATCTCGCCGCTCATCACGCGCACGCGCAGCATCGGGTTTGACTTGTTCTTCAGGTTCTGGAAGAGACTGCGGATCTTCGTGCGGTACTGCTCCTTCGTCTCGGGGCCCAGAGAGTCGTATGCCGCCGCCTCGACAGCCGACGCTTTGGCGAGAATCGCCTTCGGTGACTCTGTCGATCCCACACACAGCCCGTCGTACATCAGCCCCAAACAACTGTCGCGCACCTTGTTGCCCGTCTGGCTGGTGTCCACTCCGTCCGCTTTCCATGTGCGCTTGTCCGGCGGCACAGACAGCTTCGACGCCTTATCCGACATCGAGGTCGACGAGGGCGTGGCCGCCCCGTTCTGTGCTGGCCGCGGCGATCCGCTGGACCCTCGGTTCGCGGCCGATGCGCCGCCCGTCTTCTGCTTGTTCACCTCGTTCCGCCACTTGGACACGATCTCGCCCGACAGCCGCGCCACCTCGGGGGACTTGTGTTGTTTGAATTTGTTGACAATGATGCCGATGCGTGTCTGTCGAAGCAGGTCTTCTGTTGCCCGCACCCCCTTTTGTAAATCTTTGAGCATGTTGAGGATCACCGATGCTGGCTCATTCTGCGTCGCAGCTTTGGTCAAGGACTTCGCCTTGGCGTCGATCTCTTTGGATTCCATGGCCACGGGTAGGTAGGATGTGATGTGCGACTCGGGTGGTATAATAATAAGGAGCGTATGCGTAGATAGGAGAGCTGGTCACAAACTGCGCAACGGTTCTGTTAGTCAAATGTTCAATCAGACTTTTGGATCCAGAGAGCGCATGGCAGAATCTCGCCCGCCGTACACGCATGATAATCCCAGCAGCGCAAATATCTCTTCCCCAGATAATCCGGCCCGGTTAGACGTCTCTGGTCGAGTGTGCTCCCCCTCGTCAACCGCACGTGTCATGTTCGCTTTCCATCCAGAGGGTTCTTATTGCCGAACAGACCAGAGGCAAAAGCAAAGAAACAATGCGCATCCAACTCTGCACCTTGCAACCGCCGTTATGCAAGATGGAGGGACTGGAGGGTGAGGGGGGAATGGGGGTGGCCACTCACTCCAGGTGAATCCTGCGGTCGCAGCGACAGGACGGAAAAGGTATATGGCAGAGGAAAGAGAGAGAGAGAGAAAAAGAGAGAGCCGTGTCAAAAAGGGTGAAAGAGAGGAGGGAAAGGAGAGAGATGGTTGATGGGCGGGCGATGGAGAAGCAAAGTTCTTTTTTCTCTCTCTTCGGGTTTGGGAGGTTTGATGCCAAGCCTATTCGGCAGCGGATCCCGCATTCCCACTATACTTCAATAATACAATGATAATAGTTCACAATAGAGATTGTTCTGATAAATAATCCAAAGTGTATTCACATCTATGGGAAAGAGCTGTATCCTCCAAGCAAGACACGGGGAAATGGCTATGCATGATTTTGGGGGATGAGATTATGTGCAGTCGTGGCAGACGGGGGGTATATGGGAGGGCGGTTTTGGGGCGTAAGAGTCGTCGCTCAAAACTCAGGCTTGGAGACGCAGATGGGCGGTAATCCGTGAATGGGATGGCAGCAAAAGAGACAGCCTGGCTTACACCCCAGTCTTGCCCAGGGCCTCGGCCAGCGCGTCGACGTCCTTGTCCTGCTTCTGCGCAACCTTCTCCTCCTCGGCGCGCTCGGCGTCCTTCAGATCCTTCTCGGCCTTGCGCTCTGCTTCTTCCTCGTCCTCTGCCTCCTCCTCTTCCTCCTCCTCTTCTTCTTCGCTACCCTCCTCCTCGAGCTCGTCCAGCTCGTCAAGACCCCAGCTATCCTCAGGGTCATCATCAGTGCCGTGCTTCTCCTGGCGACTCTCCAACAGCTCACGCAGATCCGTAATGTGAGGGTCCTCATCCGAGAAGATGTTTCCATTGAGCTCCACGCGGCGCAGACCAGGCAGCGCTGTCTTGGCCGCAAAGGCAAATTGCTTCACACTATCTGCCTTCATCTCGTTGTACTGCAGACGCAGAGTCTGGAGCTTCTGGTTCTGGTTCTTCCCCAGAGCCTGAGCGACCTTGACACCACCACGGGCAGACAGCAGGCAATCACCAACGCCCAGTTCGCGCAGTTCGGGCCAGCCGGGCAGAACCATTGCCAAAGCCGTAGATCCCATAACGGTAAAGGTGTTGTCCTGCAAGTCCAAGACTTCGAGGGCGCTCGCGTGACGAAGGCCGTTCTTCAACAGATGCGAAATACCCTCCTGCCGAATACCGTTCTGGGTCATCTTCACAGATTTGATACCCGCCGCGTGTTTCTCATAGGCACGCGCCCATGCTTCCATACTGCCATTCTCCAAGCGATTTCGTCCACAGACAATGCTCTCCAGCAGCGCAACTTCCTTGCCAGCCTTACGGGCCTCCTCTTTGCGCTCCGCCAGTTTGCTCAGGGCATCGGCCACCAGTGTACCCGCATGGGGACCCAGTCCGTTGTTGTTCAGGATCAGATGGCGGAGTGGGGTGTGGCGCGAAAGGAAGTCAACGAGGGGCGCCTGTGTGTTGAGACCGAAAGCATTGTCGGATAGGTTGACGGTGTGGACGGCCGGGATCTCGAGAATTGCATTCAGGAGGGAGTTCAGGGCGGGAGGGATCTCCGACAGCAGACGAGAGGTAAAAATGTCGGCGAAATCGGCAACTTCGAGGTTCTTTTGGGTCGCGAGGACAGCGCCGAGTCGCTCCGAGGCACCCACACCCAGGGTGTTACCGCCGAAGTGGATCTCCGTGTAGTCAGTGCTCTCGACGAGGGGCTTGATGTGGGCGTCGATATCCTCCGCGGTGTCGAGTTTGAGGCCTTTGCCTTCGAGGGAGAAAACCTTTGGAGGGGCCATGGCGGGGGTAGTGGCGCTGGGGATTGAAAGATTTTGGTGTGGGGATGAAAGAAACAAATAAGAGAAAAACCAAGTATTGGGATAGGAGGAAAGATCCCACAGAGTCAAAAACCAAAATCCAAGACAAAGAGGGCAGGGCAGAAAGGAGGCAAGAACGGACTGTTTGGGCCGGCGATAACGAAAAAAGATCTACGGCGGACAACAGGGACTGATTGTGCAGTTCTGCCATTACTAATTCATCCAGTCTCTCTCTCTCTCTCTCTCTCTCTCTCTCGTTTTCTCTCGTCTCGACTACTGCAATTCACTTACTTGCTCACCCTCGTTCTTGCCTGCTTGTCTCCAGTTCAATTACCAGCCATGTCGCTCTTCGGGTTCTTCGGTTCAGGTGGTAAGTCCATTCAATGCTTCATTGCAAACGCAGCCATTTATCGCCAGCCCATACTCGCGCAAGAAGACTCAGAATTGTACTTTTGATGGCGAACTCACTAACCCATTCATTTTCTATCAAGACAAAACCTCCGCCGCCTCTCAAGCCCAGGCACCAGCTCAACCCGCCCAATCCGAGAAGCCCAAGGTATGTTCCGAGACTAGCAAACCAACCCCAACGACACATACCAGGCGCAAAACTAACAGACAAACCAGCCCTGTTGCGTGTGCAAAACCGAAAAGACCGCCCGCGACGACTGCATGCTCTTTTCCAAGACCGACGACCCCACCCAGGAATGCAAGCCGATGATCGAGCAGTACAAGACCTGCATGGCTGGGTTTGGATTTAAGGTCTGATCCCAGGATTGTGAGCGTGGAGTGTATTATACTGCATTTTTGTACCATAGCATTTACGGGCTGGAGTTTCACTGGTTTCTGTGGATAAGATCTATAATTAGGCGCAGGATTTACGAATACAACTATCCCAGCTCTTTCAGGATAAAGACTCAAATTTTGGAATGTGCTAGCACAGAGTGCTTTGTGGTCCTCCTCTAAATGGGGTATCAAATTCAACATACACGGTGGCCACCCTTGGCAAAAATCAAATCACGCGCCTCATAGCTTCTTCTTTGGACCAATCTCCTTGGCCGGCGTGCGGCTGTTGGGCCAGCTTTGGCAGATCAACTTCCACAGACACCATAGGTAGGCGATTCCGAAGCCAGCAGCGCCGATGAGGGCGTTTAAGACGACCCACAGATCCGGCTTGCCCGCTGGCGGAGGTACCCACGCTTCAAGGACATGCCAGGCAATCATGGCAAGGAAAAAGCTAGAATGCACGAGTTTGGTGAGCGTCCAGAGTTCTGGTGTGCCTCGATTGCGGTACGTCTCCCAGGAGAATACAGGAAGACCGATGAGATAGGCCCACAGAAGAGTCATAACGATGTACGGCACGCGGAGGTCCTCGCGCTTCAGCAGCGGATACATGGTCCATGAGCCCAGGACATTGGCCCAACCCACCCATGCGCGGATCTCCTTACTCAGACCACCATCCCCGGCCAGAAGAAGCGTCATGGGAAGGAGGGGTAGCAAGATACTCTTCTCGTGAACCTGGAAGGAAAACAGAAAGAATCCCCAAGAGACGCAGGCCAGAGCGGGGAGGAGCAGGGACGCACGCGGGTGCCGGAATATGATGACACAGGGGAGAATAATCGAAGCCACTGTAGCTCCCAGCGAGGCTTTCTGAAGCAACCCGGTATCGAAGCGGTTCAGCTTGTAGAACGTATGGATGGCGCACCACGCGTTGGCGACTTTGTCCTCGAACAAGCCCCGGGCGAAGGGAAACACTCGGTGGATGGTTTGTGTCAGCTGAAAGAGAACCGCGTATACCACGGAGTTCTTGTCCACCACAATGGGCAGTGACTGAAGCAAGGGCGGGGGCTGAGCCACAGAAAACGCCTTCCGAGCCTCAGCACTCGTTGCCCCGACCAGGAGAGGGGCAAAAAGGAGGGTAAAAGCGGCGATCGTGATAAGAGCGATACCAACGAGCCGGAGCACCCGAATCCGGGGGAACAAGCAGACGCCCAGCAGATAGGCGAACATGACCGGAGCATAGTAGAGTGCCATCTGCTTGAACCCCAATGCACCCACGAAAAAGATGCAGGCCCAGAGCATACGACCGGCCAGAATAGCATCCAAGCTGGCAACCACCAGGCCCAGCATAACTGTATTGTACTGGAAATGACCATGGTCTACGAGGATAGTCGCAGGCTGGAGGAGAATGGCAACCAGTGCAATCGATGCAGACCATGCATGGACACCCTGCATCCGAGTGTACCGGCGCAGAAAATTGACGACAGCGGGGATGTAGACCAGGTACTCGGAGATCACGACGGTAGCACGCATGAAGATTTTCAGGTTAGGGTGTTCAAAGCCACGGGAAGCGTCCAGGGCAAACCAGGTGGGATCGACGACAGAGCCACTATGCCGGTCAGCCATAATCGTCCACCGAATGAGCGCCGAGAAACTTACATCTTGCCCACTAACCAGCTGTGATATGCAGTCAAGGGAGGGTAGTCGAGTCCCCAGTACTGCAAGTCGTAGAGATACCACTTGAAGGTGGGCAGGTGGATGGTGAGCTCCATCCAGTGTCGCTGTGCCTCAAAGTCTCCATGCATCGGTGGAACCTGGAAGCCTAGAAGGTGTCAGACCTCGAAATAAGCCAAGTGATATGACCACACCTACCCGAGTAGCCCCAGAGCCCAACCGCCCACCGGAACAGACCGACGGCCATGAGCGTGAGAGGTAGGATCAGCCATTGCGAAACACCCGCTCGGGCCGCCCAGAGGAACGAGACCAGTGGGAAGGCAGGCACCTGTTTTCCCACTCCAACATGCAGAATGAGGTTGTTGTTCAAGCGAGGCGCGGTAGTGGTCGCGGCGGTGGTGGAAGTGGTTGTGTGGAGCTTTCTCTTGCGACGCGGCCGATGCGACGATGGGGTTGAAGGGGCCATTGTGGGCGAGGAGAGGGCAGGCCAGTTGACAGCTGAGCCCCGTCACATCAGTGGTAGAGAAAGCGGTTATGGAAGGGAGAAAGTGGGTGAGTTGGAGTGAAGGAGCGTGAGTAGTGAAGGTGCAGGAGACGCGGTGTCCGGAGCAAGACCGGCAGTTATCCACTTCTGATTCTGCTGGGTCTGTTCCTTCCCCTAGCCCCGACTAAGAAGGCGGTCAGACCAGCAGCCTCTGACTTTTTTTTTTTTTTCCTTCCCGTTGTCCTGCCTCCCAGATTTTTTCTTCTCTTCCTTCTCACTCTCATCCTTACACTTTTTCTCTCTTTCCCCTTTCCCGTCTCCTTCCCCTATCATTCCGTTGGTTCTCTCTTTGAGGTGACCATCCCCTGCAAAACCTTCTCCTCACTAACTGAGTAGCGTGGGCTGTACTTTCCAAGTACTTCAACAGACATCTCTGTGGGCTGATCACATCGTGGGCTTGAAATACTGCAAATCTATTCTTTGGGCTCTTTTCGTGGGTTTCATACTATAGACAGTTGTGTATCTCCTGTCGGTCTCTGTGGGCTTGAACACTGTCGGTTGCGGGTTACTGAGGGTTACTATCACACACATCCAAATCGGGTGCTCTGAGGGTTGAAGGCTTTGCCGCACATTCCAAAACACATATTATCTGTATCTACTACAGTATGTCCTGTCCTCCCCTGATCTGGATCCTCACCACTAACACTCTCTGGCCCAGATGTCGAAGACCAAGGTTTCCACCAAGGCTGAGAAGCCCAACAAGACCTTGAGCAAGGTCAAGGACGCTGGTGTCGCTAAGGCGTCCAAGTCCTCGTCGGCCAAGAGTAAGGCTGTTGCTAGCAAGGTTGCTGCCAAGGACGAGAAGAAGAACAAGAAGAAGAAGGAGCCTACTCCTAGCAGCTCCGAGTCCGAGTCCGACAGCGATGAGGACATGAAGGATGCCTCCAGCAGCAGCGAGAGTGAGAGCGAGGATGAGAAGCCGGCCAAGAAGGAGGTGAAGAAGCCTGCTGCTAAGGCTGCTGAGTCTTCCTCTGAATCCGAGTCGGAGTCTTCGGAGTCCGAGTCGGAGGACGAGAAGCCTGCTCCCAAGGAGAAGAAGGCCGCTGCCAAGGCCGCTGAGTCTTCCTCCGAGTCGGAGTCTGAGGAGGAGTCTGAGGAGGAAGCTCCCAAGAAGGCCGCTGCCAAGGCCGACTCCAGCGACAGCTCTGAGTCTGAGTCTGAGTCCGAGTCCGAGGATGAGAAGCCGGCCAAGAAGGACGCTAAGAAGGAGGAGGCCAAGGAGGTAAGTTACTGATCTTTCCCCGTCTATCACGCATCACTAATTTGAATTTGACAGGATTCTTCCGACGAGTCTGAGTCTGAGTCTGAGTCTGACTCTGATGACTCTGACAGCTCTGCGTCTGAGTCGGACAGCGAGGATACTGCCAAGGCCTCCAAGAAGCGCAAGGCCGATGATGAGCCTGAAGTGACTGCGAAGAAGACCAAGACTGCTCCCGCTCCTGAGGGCGCCTCGCCCAATCTGTTCGTTGGCAACCTGTCGTGGAATGTCGACGAGGAGTGGCTTCAGCGCGAGTTCGCCGAGTTCGGCGAGCTGTCTGGCGTTCGCATCGTCACTGACCGTGACAGCGGCCGCTCTCGCGGGTAAGCTGGCTTTACTACGATTGTTTCTAGATTGATCGCTGACCATGTTTCCCAGATTCGGTTACGTCGAGTTCACTGACGCTGCCGATGCTGCCAAGGCCATGGAGGCCAAGAAGGGCACCGATCTTGATGGCCGTACCATCAACCTCGACTACGCCACTGGCCGCCAGAACAACGCTCAGCAGGGCGGTGACCGCGCCCAGGCTCGTGCCCGCTCCTACGGCGACCAGACCAGCCCCGCCAGCGACACTCTGTTCGTGGGCAACCTGCCGTTCAGCGCTTCCGAGGACGCTCTCCGCGACGTGTTCGGCGAGCAGGGCAGCATCCTAGGCATCCGCCTGCCTACTGACCAGGAGACCGGCCGCCCCAAGGGCTTCGGCTACGTCCAGTTCTCGTCCGTCGAGGAGGCTCAGGCCGCTCACTCGGCTCTGGCTGGCCAGGAGCTCGAGGGCCGTGCTATGCGCCTGGACTTCAGCACTCCCCGTCCCAGCAACGGTGGCGACCGCGGTGGTCGTGGTGGCTTCGGCGGCCGTGGCGGTGGCCGCGGAGGCCGTGGAGGCTTCGGTGATCGTGGTGGCCGTGGCGGTCGTGGAGGCCGTGGTGGCTTCGGCGACCGTGGTGGCCGTGGCGGCTTCAACAAGGGCAAGGGCAGCATCCCTGAGTACAAGGGCACCAAGGTTACTTTCTAAGCATTAACTGTTTTGTGTTCTGGTCTTTCTACTAACCCGGCGTGACTATGACTCGATTTATTGATTTGTGTGACGATCTCAAAAGTTGTGTATTATTCGCTATTATTATTCTCTTCTGAATTGCATCCATCTACTTCATCATCTACTTCACTAATTCTCGACGTCATCTATACTTTCCGTATACTGCCCTCCCCTTCCGCCTGCCCCATTCACACGGGCTTCCCCGCAGCCTGGGCCTTTCTGTTGAGTTGTCTTGTCAGGTCAGGTCTGGTTTCTCTTTCTTCTTCTTATAATCTATTCCTCTCTTCCTTGCTACTATCCTCTCTTTTTGTTATATCTTCTCCTTTCTTGCCTGCCCCTCTGCAGATCACGGGTTCTCCTCTGCACATCACCTGTTCCGTCTGCTGATCTCACCTCATCATCCCCTTCTGCCTCTCTCTCTTTCCCTTTCCTTCCTCTCTTCTTCCCTCTCCCTCCCTCCCTCCCATCCATCTATCCTCAGAGTCAGTTGCCACATCTTTTTGGTGAACCTCTGCTTTTCAGAGGCCAACTGAAATCCGGCCCTGGCAACACCCTGACTGACCAGGTTGGGCACCACAGGGATGGAGTGGATCCTGATCTCCAGCCCGATAAGATAAACCGTCTCCACGTTCTTGACCGCTCAGTCTTCATCAGCCCACCCCGGCTCTCTTCAACACTCTATCCCTGTTTTTATCATCCTTGCCTCTTCATCTCTTCTCTTTCTTTCTCTCCCTCCTCCATCTTTAACTGGCCATGCAACCAAATCACTACGACCTCCTAGGTCAGGTGCATGAGCCCAGAGCCGCAAGTCGGATGACGCGCGATGGCCATCAGCCGCCTCGCGAGAACGCTGGTCAGCCACGGTCAGTGTCTGGTGCTGCACCCATGAGATCAGAGGGTATGTTGTTCCTTTTATACCGTTCGACCTTCATGCGCTTCTTCTCTCCCCTGTCGATCGAGTTCACCATGCAAATAACCTTACCACAACACAATGTACTCACTTCGCTATTATATAGACTCCTGGATCGAGGTATCGTCGCAACCATCATCTTCGTCTCTATCATCCGCTGCCACGAACGATGATATCATTACCACTGGCCTTCGGGTCGAGCATCGCGAAGCGGGCGCATACCATCATCGCAGTCGACGACGCCGTCTGCAACGCCTGGCAGCCGTCACGACGGCTCAGGTAGACTACTCCTCGCGTGAAGCCAGCCTCGCAAGCAGCAGCCAGGAGGAATACGAAGAGAGTGAGAGCGAGTCAGACCGGGTTCTCAGCAGTTCCAACGAAGAGATCGGCCGCCCCTGTCTCCGCGCACCTCTCCCCACTCAACCACCCTCATCCCAATTTGACGCAGCGTCATCCAGCGATGAAGATGACGCCTCCACCGCACTAGGAATTCGCATCAGCGAGTCTCCATTCGTGCCTCAGCCGAATGTCTTCACGCACCCGCCAGTCACGCAGCATCCCTCGTGGACTCGGCCGACCGATTCTCGCCGGTCTCAACCGAGTGTCTTGTCGAACTCCAGTCGTCGTACCGCAATTCGAAGAGACTCTTATCCCAGTATGGGTCCTTCGCGCAGACATCCACCTCAACACAGCCCTTATAACATGATATCACCTTCCCACCATGCCGACCACGACGCAGCCCTTCGTGCGAGCTTGTCCACCTTGCTTTCGTGCGCCGCAGCCGCACGAGGACTACCCAAGCCCGACCCTCAACCTTCGACTTCTGGCCCTTCGGGCGCACAGCCATCAACATTCCGCCTTGTAGGCGAATCGGTCGCCATGGGAGAGGAAAGTGGCGGCGAAGAGCCACCATCGTCGACTCCATACACGGAAACCAGCCCATCCATCGGACCACCCCTACCACGAAGACACCCACGCGGCCCCGTGGTTTCCGCCGGTCCTGCCGTCTCCAAAGCTAAACGTCGGTCCACCTCTCCTAAAGAGCGCGGCGCGGCTTCAAAAAAGAGCCGCCGTGCCAGCATAACAGACTCAACCACCGCAGTCAGTCCCACGATCATGACGTGGGTCATCAGCGCAGGCGTCGTTGTTCTGTTTTCCGCCATCAGCTTCTCGGCAGGCTACATGCTCGGCCGGGAGGTAGGACGAGCCGAAGTAGGAATGATGGGCGATGGAGGCGTTCCTGGCGCTCGGTCATCATCGGCTGCGTGCGGCCAGGAAGCCGTCCGCGGAGGACTGAAGCGACTTCGCTGGGGCACCGCTGCGGCTGGCTCGGCCAGCATGATGCAGTCATGAATATGATCAAGACGAGACGAAATGACCATGATACGCCGTTTACAGCGCACTTTTTGCTTCCTCTTCTTTTTCTCCTTTGTTTCTTTCCCGTTTGACAAGTCTGGAACTGAGTCAGTCTCGATGCATAAGGACGAGATCTCAGCAAAATCGGCGTTTCTTCTTTCTGTTTCTTCCTTGCTGGAGCACATGGGGCTGTGAGATGAGAGCCTTGTTTTGTGTTCGCTTGGGAGACTCTCGGTGGTGGTGTTGCGATGTTCATGTTTCCCATCTATACCCACTCTCTTTTTGGGGATTAGCTCATTTGTTTGTATTTCCCCTGATAGTTAATAATTACTTGAAGTTGAGCCGTTGTACACAGTAGCTGGGTTAGCCTATTGAGCTCCGCCTGTAGAGAATCTCTATGTCATCTTGAGGGCTGGTCGATGGTCGATTAAGGCGGCGGCATCGATGAACACAGCTCGGGATGAGAACCTTCTCCCAATCTAAACAATCAGTTCCACAACAATCGACTAAAGAAAGGAAAATTCCACCAATAGCATGCGAAATGACTCGAGAGCCTGCCAGCAGAACCAGATAGTTCCTCGGGATCAACCCGAAGTGTACCTGATAGAGTATAGCAAACATCAGCAGGATTGTCCTTGAACGAAGGAAGGCTCACCCCACGCAATTTACCCCACGCTCTCTTTCGAGTGCGACTTAACTAACCGTCCGCCTCTGAGCAGAATCAATATCTTTGAAGCTGAGCGTGGGTCCAGGATCCACGTTCCCCGCGCAAGCAGCAGCAACCCCCACGCCAGGCAAGCTGGACCATGGAGATTCAGTACCCCAGTTCCGTCGCCTGTCCATCGAGATCATCGCTGAAGGCTCACATGCTGTCGGGGTACAAAACCTCAGATGGCGCCCCATCCCGTGGCAGGCTTTCTGCTTGCAACTTGGCTTGCGCATTTGCCGTGAATTGAACGCACCATGGTTTATCTCGGGCTCTCCGGTAGAGGCCTACTGTCTGCCATTACCTGCTCTGCAGGAATGGGCTTTATTATCTTCGGTAAACCTCTTATAGGTGCACATAGGAGGGATTCATGAACTGACTTCGTTCTCAGGGTACGACGATGGAGTTATTGGGGGACTCCTGACAGCCAATGCCTTCACGGACACATTCCATCTCAGTTCGTCAATGGAAGGCACGGTGACGGCGCTATTTGTGATCGGCTGTCTGGTCGGCTGTCTCTGCACCGCTCTCAGTGGTGGCCGATGGGGTCGGTTGACGGTCGCCCAGGTCGGTTCAGGCGTTCTCAGTCTTGGTGCGATTCTGCAGGCATCCAGCTACACTGTCTCGCAGTTGATTGTAGGTCGGATCGTGGCCGGACTGGGGCTGGGGCTGATTACCAGCAACCTGCCGGTCTGGCAGTCCGAAACGGCGACACGAGACAAGCGCGGCATGTTGGTTGCCGTGTCGCTGAGTTTCTTGATTCTGGGCCAGGTGCTAGCGTACTGGATTGACTATGCCATGTCTGCGTATATGAGCAGCGCCTCCTGGCGTTTCCCCATGGCCTTTCAAGCATTTTTGGGAATTTGCTTGAATGTCATGCTGCTTTTCATGCCCGAGTGCAAGTGACCCCAGGCCGGTGTATCGAGAATATGAACGCTGACACCAGTAACAGCGCCTCGTTGGCTTTTCCAGCACGGTCGTCACCAGGAAGCCACCGATATCCTCCGCCTGCTGCGATCTTCTCATGGCGTCGTGGATGAGACTGCCTTAGCCAACACCGTGGCAGAAATCCAGGATGCTCTTGCGATTGAAAGCGAGCAGAAAGGCTGGATGGACCTGCTTCGCGACGACCACGTCCGCTCTCGCCGTCGGGTGGGCCTCGCATGTCTGCTCAATGCGTGTCAAGCGTGGAGTGGTAGCACGCCCATTAGCTATTATACAACTGTCATGTATGAAAGAGACCCGTGTCGCAGGCACATTAGTTCATGCTGACCTCACTAACTAGTTTTGAGGACTCGGTCGGATTTTCTCGTCATTTGGCCCTGCTCATGTCCGGGTTTCTCCAAATCTGGTTCCTGTTTGCCTCCTTTGGGACGTGGTATTCCATTGAAAAGCTCGGTCGACGACGTTCGTTCATGATATCGGCCATTGGAATGGCGGCCGTGATGGTGGTGTTGGCAGCAATGCTGGCCATCGATACCCAGGTTTCCGGAATCGTGGCTGTCGTGATGCTATTCGCATACCAAGCTTTCTACACCTGGGGGTTTATGGGCGGTCTCTGGGTTGGTAACCTCTCATTCAGGCGCAAATCACTGGTGCTGACAGTCAATAGTGTTATGGACCGGAGATACTCCCCTTGGCCCATCGATCCAAAGGGATTGGTCTTGCCACAGCCTTTTTGTGGCTCTCCACCTTTGTTGTGATTGAAATAGTTCCGTCAGCGATAGATAACATTCACTGGAAGACATACATCATCTTCGCTGCTTTCAATCTTGCGTTCGTCCCGATGATCTACTTCCTGTACCCCGAGACGGCTGGTTTCAGCTTGGAGGCTGTGGACCTAACCTTCATGGACCGGAGCATGTCTCCGGTGAAAAAAGCAGACGAGCTGTGGAAACGGATGAGACAGGGGCAGGACGTGACCTTGACCGGATATGTGGATAGGAAGGAGGGGGATGTGCATGCAGACCACATCGAGACGGCATGACCTTGTTCGGGGGAAAAGCGAAGAACGAGTAGCGAAGCTTTGTTTGTCGGAGCAATTATATGGACTGATAGGCGACCTGAACGGGGGAGACGTTATACAGATTCCCCAGCACAACCATGTTAGGGCTTAACACTGCGGTGTTGAAGGTGCCGAGTCCAGCATTAAGGCGACTTGGATCAGCACAACCCATTTGCGGCGAAGGGGCCAGTTCTAGGATAACAACTAGCAGATGGTTTCGCTTTCACCCCTGAGTGCTCAAAATACCAATGGGTCATCAGCGTCGAGGCCGTGGAGGCAGTAATTGATACCATTGCATGGCTGTCAGGGTGGAATAACAGGCCGTTCCAGGCCAGGCGTAAAGAAACTGACTGGTGAAAGAGATCACAGAGCAACTGCGTAAGAAGTTATGGAATTTGGATAGTCTGGAGAGCCTTCGAAATATCATGTTATGATTCCGGCGGGGACGAGCGCGATCGCAGCGGATCTTGCGCTGTTTACAGTTGATACATGCTTTGCCGGCGGTGACTCGGCGTCTGGTAATCTCTGCTTGCATAGTGGTAGATGTTTTCCAAGGCACGTGAGGAGTGCGGGAAAAGAAGCCGGGATTTATGACAAGCTACCCCGGATGAATTTTACCCAGGATTATTCTCTGCACTGTTCATTGGCCCCCTAAGCCAAGTTTGGTCGCTACGTATTTACTAATGAGTTGCTGAGTGCTCTGCTGTTTGTAAATGAGCATGCGAGTTGAACAATGAGGTTGCGAGGATAGCAACAGAAATCTAGGCTGTCATGTTCTGTCTAGTATAAGAATTGAACCTGCTCAACAAATGAAGAACTGGTTGTATATATAGTTGAGGCAAGATCCCAAGTAAGTACTTGTTGGCATCTCCGTGAATATAACCCCAGGGTTTATTTATTCATTTACCCTGCCAATCCCTTGAAGATGGGGGTACTCAACCAAGTACCATCACCCTATAGCGCGGTATTCGGCCTGGTAGAACATGTAGCGCAAAGTCCCCACGGCGTAACTAACAGTTCATCCTCTTGACCGCGACCTAGAACTTCCATAAGGCTGGGATACAACGTTGCAATAGAAGGTAGTAATACTGAAGGGAAGGGGGAGGAAAAAGAAATATGCAAAGTGGCATCATCAGCTGAGGCTTATCACTAACATAGACCAGCAGGGGAAGGAGATAGACAAGATATTTCAAATACTTCCTGTTTTCGATCTGAGGATACGGGGGCTGACGCATGGCTGCCAGGGCAGGGCAGGCAGGTGTGGGGGCATAAAGAAGTTGAGTTGACGCTATAAGGTTTCTCGCGGCTCGGGCCTCAGATCGTAAAACCGTTCGGGTGGAGGGAAAGTGAAGCACTGATTTGAGCATTCATTATTGCTCCATACGCATATTACACGAGGATTGATTTGTATTTGTGTTTATGCTTTTCGCATTGTGATACATTGTGATAAAAGATTTAGTTGTTTTAGTTGTACATTAGAAGCCGTGAGACTGCACCGGAATATGTTTCCACGGCGATATGCAAGATTCCTCATAGAGGGGAAGATAAGGTTCGATATAGCAAGGAAACTGCGGCGCAGAACCGGATCTTTAGTCAACTAACACTAAGCTCTGCCCTGTGGTAGGTTGAGCGTTTGGCTTCCTTCAGGGTGCTTGGTAGAGTTTGTCGATCGGCGTTTGGGAGAGGACGTGGCGATGGCTGGTGCGCAGGATCGGCGGCATGCGGGTCATGGACTGAAGTCGGTTTCTTTGCTTTTTTTAACAATCCATAGCAAGGTTTCATGTTGGGTTTCTGCCATGTTGCCACTAGAGAGTCTATCGATAGTCCTGTCAAATATGGAGGAATTTGTCTGGCGCAGACGTACTCTACTCCATCGGTAGACATCTAAGACACCCATGGCTTAGTAAATATCGAGTACAACCATAGTTTCGTTTCGTTCATTTGTTCAAGTAAAGTTTCTGTATATACATCGAATACTCAATCCAGAGCCTAGAATAGAAAGCTAAAATAAAAACATCGTAACCAATCTCCGTGCAAAATCCATAGAACACCTTGCTAATCCCTCACTAGAACAGAGGATTGTAGTAGAAGAGACATGTCGAAGAGAAAAAATCGACCCAGGCATTCATCCTTGATATAGGACAGCCGAACAGACGGAGTAAAAGAGGGGTCGGCGAAGGAGATACAAGTTATGCGTTTGCATGAGATCGTCGCCGGTATTTCAGGTCATCTCGACTGAGGAAGCGTCGTAGCTTGGTGGCGAAGCGGCAGGGCTGATGATCTACAACGCAACTGATTAGCATACAAGTCGAATATGTCTCAGACAGCACCGCGCACCATCTTTTCGGGCAGATAACAATTGGTCATCCAGGCCTTGTGTTGTATAGGCTGAGGCCCAGTAGCCTGTGTGGCGGTAACCCGTAAAAGTACAGCCATTAGAGTTGTACCGCGGCTGCATGGCTGCGACATGCGGGTAGAGTGTCGCCAACGGGGCGAGCAGTTCGTCCGGGGGTGGCGAACGGCGGCCGTATAGACTGCTTCGGTTCTGTGGGAGCTGGTCAGCTAGGGCAGCGTAGGGCAGTGGGGCCATCGGTACACTGACGTGAAGCTCATAGTTGTTCTTGTAACTCATGGTTGGCTTGTGATTAAGAAAAAACTTGTTGGGGATGTTGAGCTGCAGGATGCGAGCAAGCTGCATTTTAAACACGATGCCTTCAGACATGATTTGAGATAATTCGCCAAGAAAATAAGCGGGGGCTGAGATCGTATAGATCGAAGTTCGGCGATGGGGGTTTAGCGTCATTCCACGGGGAGCCCGATGTGAGAACCATCAGGGATCATCCCTGTCCACCCCTTGCATCCTCCATTCCACGTTTAATTCAGGGACCGTGAGATGGACCGAATACATCCGTGACGCCCATCAGCCAGCCATCACCAGGCCAGATCAATGATCTGCCGCTAGCGAGCATCCAGGTCGAATCCTGGCGGCCGGGTCGGCGCTATTGAAGTTGCTATTGATCCCCGACCGTATTGGGGATGCTGCCATTCGCCGACAATGCACATTGTCTCCACCAACACAGCCACAGCTTTGCATTAGAAAGAACGCACGGGCATCGGACATGACCGTGGCTGGTGGATGTGGCTTGGAGCTTCTATTGATCGGATCTTCAGAACTGCTCTCATTTTCACCCTTTCTTCTCGGTCTGTCCGTCGTGACCGTCATGGATGAACCGATCTTCCTGGCACCTATAAGGCCCCATCGCCCCCATGGGTGATGATACCTCTTTCATTCTCATCAACTTCACTTGACTTTGATATTATTTTATCTTCACTACTACACATGCCCCCAACCGATCATGTCGTTGAGCATGCAGGGTTCCGGAAGAGAGTCCTGGGAAAGCTCTCCGTGTATGGACATGCGCGATCGCTGCTCGCGCGAGTCAGCCGCCCATCCCAGTAAGAGATTCTCCCCCCTGCGGTCCCGATTGTCCCGTCTATCGCACCGGGTGCGCCACGGCCTGAGTTCTGAGAAGTTTTGCCCTGGTCCAGGATTTGTCGAACGGGATGCTGAACGCTCCTCGGACAGGCGTGCCCTCGAGGATGCCCTAATCAACAACCCAGAGGCCCAGTCTGTCCTGCAGGAAGGCGAGTTTGGCCGGGTGGATCCAACGGGCTGGTTCCCCCACTACAAGCGATGCGTGCAGTTTTTCGTCACAACCAGCCAGCATTCGCCTATCGTGCAGTCAGTTGCTGCGTTCATCAACATCCGACTGCCCTATCACCAAGGCATGGGCCTGGCGGTGGCCGGTTCACATCCGCGTCCCTCCACACCAGCGCCGTTTGTTTCTCTCAGGCCGTATATTAGGCGCCTGATTGTCACCGCACAAGATTCGCCTGCTGTTTTGCAGGCCTTCTTCGGGGCTGACTGGGAGGCCGGTGTGGGCTGCATTTACAAGCAAGAGCGGGTGAACTACCTTTTCACGGCCAAGAGCAGTGGGTGGGCCTCGACCAAGGCAGCCTACGACATCTTGCCGGATGAGCAAGCACCATTCCTGCGTCCCCTGCGAGATCCGTCGGAAGATGAAATCCGGGCAGCCGAGGCGCGGTGGAGTGAATGGCTGGCGATGGAGGATTGGATGGTGGGGGCGCGCAGTCCCTGGTAGGACTATCGACTACTGATGAGCCATGACCCGTTTTGTCTTTCTTGCACTTGTTTTCCTTTGTTGGTGGGGGGCGATGACGATGGGACAAAATGACGCAGCCGTCGAGAAGTTCTGTGCGGCGTTGGTTGATCAATTTCTCATTCTCATATGGCGTTTCTGGAAGGGTGGTAGTCTGCAATATTACTTTGACAGCTGTCAAATGAAAATCCTGATGTTCTAAGCTTTATGTCAGAGTCTTACCGAAAAGCGTCAAACTATGCGCCTAGACCTTTAATCTATCATGGATGGTTCCACTGAGCTGTTCCCTAGTAGGCCAATGCTTGCATTGATCTCTACAGTGTGGGGTCGGTTGTATATTAAAATCGATAGCGCGCACCGCCACAGGCACGGACCAGGTTGACAAATTCTGGTCGCTAGTTTGGTCGATGATGGCAGATCCTTTTAGTGTCCCAGACACGATCTTCTAATCATCGTTTCCGAAGGTAGTTAGGGCTACTCTTTAGGGCGGATCCACCCTGACTCACGCGATGCCCGACACCTGTCCATCTCCCCAAAGGGGGCTGTCAACCTGTCAATACGCACTAGGGGATTAAGCCTTGTCTCCTATCCAGGTACTCGGGAATAATCTACGATGGCAGAACCTGCAGCAATTGAAATCTACGAGCACGACGCCGCCAGCATCCTGCCGGCGCTCGCGTCTCAATTGCCGCACTCTGCCACCGTCGTGCGGCGTATCCAACACGCCCTCGCGTATCCTTCATCTAGTGCTAAGATCCTAGCGACTTTCGCCCCAGGTACCCCAGCCCCTAAGCAACAGCCGTGGCTGGCTGCGTGGGTGGATCTCTTTCGCGGACGCGAGACCCAGATGGTCGTCTATTCCAGCCTTGAAGCGGAGCACACGTCAAATCTGCCGATCGCGGGCTCCGATCATATCGTGTCTGTGCTAGATGTCACCTCGTCGGTACTAGCGCAGGTCCGCGCCCAGCTACTAGCTCTGTTGACGTACGTCAAAACTCATTTGCTCCCGGCGTACCTGTCATTCGTGCAGGAGACTAAGGAAAATGAGGATCCTCAGACTCACAATGGCGTGCCTTTGATCCCCGCGCCAGACCCACACGCGTTTCTCATTGGCAGCCTACATACGGGTCTTTTTACGCTGCTCCAGCGCGAGCCGATTTACTCCGCTGATAATCCCCGAAAGGGGATCAAGGTGCATCGCTTCGATGATCCTGCTTACTTAAAATATTTCTTCCCGCGAGAGATCTTCAGCTCAGACGGCGATTCGGCGTTGCCTTCGGGGTACAGATACCAGGACCGCCGTGGAAGGATCGGCCTCCTCCCGGCGCACCTGGATCTGGTCCAGAGTCGTACGCACATCCCCCGCTCCAACAAGAGTTTGTCTACCATGCCCGGTGTGGCTGTCTATTATGATCCTTCGCCAGCATCAGAAACAATAGTCGATGATCATGACGAGATGCCTATTGCCTGGGCCTTCCTGGGCACGGACGGTGCGTTGGCTACTTTGCATGTTGAGCCGGAGCATCGCGGTCGGGGTCTTGCTTTGCGGTTGTCCAAGGAAGTGATGCGTCGCGGTATGGCGCCGGGAGGGCTCTTTGGGGCTGATAGTGTTGAGATTGCTGATCATCAAGATCGACTCGGTGGATGGGTGCATACTGAGGTAGCGCAGTATAACCAGGCGAGTCGGCGTGTGATGGAGAAGATTGGGGGAAAGCCATTGACTACAGTGACCTGGACTGTGATTGAGTTGGTTGATTGAACATTGGTTACAAATATACAAAAGGCAAGACCGCAAAAAATGTTGTGTCACGAGTCCTCGATCTGAAAATGTAGTTCGAGATCATAATGTGATGCAAGACGGCACAGACATGGTTGATATACCGGGTTCTCCCATCTGTACATGCCCATGTATTTTGAACAGTTCTCTTGCTGTGAGATGGATGCGAAGCCTCTATTATACCTTTTGTACCTTCTTCTTTGGCCTTTTAATTCCCCACTGTGCCGGCCAAGAAACGTTGGATTCAAGATTACTCTCCTTTTCCTTCACACTCTGCTCACCCCAAGACCCCCAGAGGCCGGCAGAATACTCATCTTCAAACTCTTCAGACTCCTTCTGGCAATGCACAGAGATGTCCTTCAAAAAGCTCAAAGTTTGTCCAAGACCAGGCTGGCTGGCCCGATAGAAGAGGCGCTTGTCCATGCCTTCTGCACTCCCAGGATTTGATGCATCTCAGCCTACGATATGTTGGATTTGCGAAAGTAGATTGAGTGATTGCATGTGAGTTATAGTGTGATTCGGTTTACCTTATGCAGTGGCTAATCTCAACGCAGTGTGAGGCCATGTAACCGTCAATTTTAATGTCTGCATCAGACAGCTGGAGGATAGTGAGGACAGCTCTGCTAGTAGCTGTCCTCAGTGTAGTGGGCTCGTTTCCCGAGTGGTCGGTTTCTCGGCTCCGATGAATCTCCCTGGCGCGGTGTCAGTAGGACCAGAATGCCTGTGCAAATTCTCCAAGTGAATGATGGAAGGGCCAAATTCTAATCTGTGCGGCGGTTGGGAGTATAGATAGGCACTGCATGTAGTTACATGTAGTAGAACATGTGCTATACTTGCGGTGATAGAAGTGGGGGTCATCTCAATTAGGGTTAGCGTGGATGATTCAACCCAACTGCTGCTTCTCTCCTTCTCGACATCTTTTCCTCTCTCCTTCTCCTCCAATTGACCCCAACCTTCAAGATGAGCAACCCCAAAGTCGCCGAGAACATGCTCTGGGGAGGCCGGTTTACCCGTGAGTCGCATGCAATGCCTACCCCGGCACTTTCTCATTCATCCCCACTGATTCACACGATCATTCCACAACAGAGGGCCTCGACCCCCTCATGGTGCAGTATAACGAGTCTCTTCCCTACGACCGAGTCTTCTGGAAGCAGGACATCGCCGGCTCAATTGCCTTTGCCCGCGCAAACACCAAGAATGGGATCCTGACCGCACACGAGTTCGCCGAGATCGAGCGCGGCTTCCAGCAGATCGCCGAGGAATGGCGCACAAACACCTTCGTCGCCAAGGCGAACGACGAGGATATCCACACGGCCAACGAGCGTCGTCTGGGCGAAATCATTGGCAAGGAGATCGGCGGCAAGTTGCACACCGGTCGGTCGCGCAACGAGCAGGTCGCAACGGATATGCGGTTGTGGCTGCGTGACGAGCTGCGTGCCATTGAGAGCTGCCTCTGCGACCTGATCAAGGTTTCGATTTCCCGCGCCGAGCAGGAGATCGATTACCTCATGCCGGGCTATACGCATCTGCAGAAGGCCCAGCCCGTCCGCTGGTCCCACTGGCTGCTGTCGCATGCCACTGCCTTTGCCAGCGAGCTGCAGCGTCTGCGCGAGGTCATCCGCCGTGTCAACCGCAGCCCGCTCGGTACCGGTGCGCTGGCGGGTAACCCGTTCCAGATTGACCGCGAGGCCATGGCGAAGGAGCTCGGGTTCGACGGTCTGCTCTACAACTCCATGAACGCTGTGGCGGACCGTGACTTCGCTATGGAGACCATGCAGTGGGGCAGCTCGTTCATGCTGAAGATTTCGCGCTGGGCCGAGGACTTGATTATCTACAGCAGTCTGGAGTTTGGCTTCGTCCGTCTGTCGGACGCTTACTCGACGGGATCGTCGCTCATGCCCCAGAAGAAGAACGCCGGTGAGTTTTATATCTCTCCCTTTATTCTTTTTCTCGCCCAATCGTCGCTAATGCATTTATAGACAGCCTCGAGCTCCTCCGCGGCAAATCCGGTCGTGCCTTCGGCCAAATGGCAGGCCTGATGTGCACGATCAAGGGCCTGCCAACAACCTACAACAAGGATCTGCAGGAGAGCGTCGAGCCCATGCTAGACCACGTCAAGACCGTCAGCGACAGCATCCAGATCGCCACCGGCGTGCTGTCGACCCTGACCGTAATCCCGGAAAAGATGACCGCCGCCCTGGCGCCGGAGATGCTGGCTACCGAGATCGCGGATTACCTCGTCCGCAAGGGCGTGCCGTTCCGCGAGGGTCACCATATCTCTGGTCGCGTGGTTGCGCTGGCAGAGCAGAACGGTGTGCCCATGGATACGCTCTCGCTGGACCAGCTTAAGAACGTTGATGCCCGGTTTGGTGACGATGTCCAGGCTTGTCTGGACTATGAGCGTGCCGTTGAGCTGAAGGATGCTATTGGTGGCACCAGCAAACGGGCGGTTATTGAGCAGACCTCCGTGCTTAAGGGTCTGTTGTAGACATCTTGAGCTGCCCAGTTATATCTAAAAGATGTATGTATGCGGGATTGATTTCGGTTAGATAAAAGGCTACGAGGTATGAATTATGCAGTAAAAATATCACAAATTTTGAGGGTGAAATCAATACAGAAAGCGATAGGGGAATCAAAATCCAAACACCTAGTATCACGTCCTAAAGGCAAAAATAGCAACTCGTTTCAATTTCTCATCCCATCGTCGCAGACGGAGACTTGACATCCTTCGGTGACACACCCTCCTCTGCTGCATACGCTGGCGGCGTGTCACTGGGCGAGTAGACCACCTCGTCCTCCTGGAACAAGGCCAAAGAAGGCATTGACTTCGACGCCGGAACAGGAGCGACAGCGCCAGAAGTCGAAGTCTTCCTAACCAGCGACTCTCTGCTTGGCCTCTGAGTCCAGGGTAGCTCTACGGCATGCCTCTGTCCACCAGTTCCAGTTGCATTATCGTACTGCATAAAACTCATAACATGGTCATGAGCAGCACGCTGCTGTTGGACGTCCTTTCCCTTCCCAGTTCCAGCCTGCGCCGACGACGACGTAAAATCAGACGCAGTCGAGTAACGATCCATATTCGCCCCCAGCACGACTCCCTCCTTCGTAATGATCTGTCGCGGCGTATGGAGAGGAGGTGCGCTAGCGAGGCAGTCCTGACTTGAACCCCTGGGACTCCTGCGAGTGGAACTAGGGAAATCCCATCTCTGGAGAGTACTCTGCTGGTGCCGGCTTAGGCTCTGCTGGAACTGCTGCTGCACGGCTTTGCGTCTTCGCTGCGAAAGGGACAGGTTGATTAGTTCTCTTTGCGGGCTATGCGGTAGTTCGCAGTGCGTGCGCCAGAAGCCTGTGTCGGAGAGTTCGGCCGTGACTCCCGTTGGGAATGTGCAGGTTGTTGTTGTGTCTGGGTGGGTTTCGGGAGGAAATGTGAGGTCTTTGGATGAAGTTTTTTGTTGGTTAGATTGGTTGAGGGTTGACGACTCGAAGGACGATCCTGTTAGCAGGCCCGCGGAAGAATCTGATGGGTTGGATTCCGAGGCTGTGGTTGAGGATGCTGCGTGTGCGTATGAGCCTGGATTATGGAGTCGTACTTGTCAGATATGTCAACCTTTAACTACGGCTTTTGGAGCTTGCTTACTGTTCAGACAGCTGGTGTCATTGGTAGACCGTGAGAAGTTTGTACCAGGACTAGAAGTCATCTCAGGATCATGGTTGGACGTATTGGTTCGGTTCCTTGGCCAGCCGATGAGAATCCGGCCTTGTTTCCTTTTGCGGCGCCAGCAGAGAAAGAAAAGGATGATGCTCAGTGCCAGGGCTGCAATGCTGCCGACGACTCCGCCGATTATTGCGGCGTGGTTGCTAGAATGTGTATTCAGTGAACTGCTCGAAGTAGCAGTAGCGACGGGAGCTGGAGCAGTGATCGAACCGGTGGCAGAAGCTGTCGATGTAGTTGTCTGTACAGTCGTTGCGTCTGCGAACGTGCTAGTAGTTGGCAGTGGTGATATCGAAGTCTTTGTCTCCGTCGAAGTCTTTGACGTTGACGTCGTCGTCTCAGTCGACGAAGACTTGGTGCTTGATGTCGTTGTCGACGAAGCAGCCGAATTGTCATCTGGACATATGCCCGTTGTGCATGGATCGCTGGAGCAGCAGCCGCTGTAGTCTCCTTTGCTGCAGACATACCACTGCTTGCCGCTGGCGCAGCCGTGGTACAGATTATCCGCTCTAGGTAACAGGTCGAAGACGTCCATCTCTAGCGCTGCCGCCGTAGAGGCAGAACGATGCGATAGGAATCAGAAAAGATGCAGTATTGAAATCACCCAAAAACTCTGTGGTTGTTGGAAATGGAAGAAATCATACTTCTTGCAAGACAAAACGAGTCTTTCCCGGACTTAGGGCTGCAGCCGCACGTTGGCCAGGGTCGCTCCTTGATGATGGCCTTGAAAGAGGAAACCATGTTGTGAAAGAGCCATTGAGGCTCATATTCTTTGTTTGTCAGATCGTCCTTCGTGTCGACCCAAATATAGGAATGCAACGCAAGAACTGTTGGTGCGCCCCAGACCGTCTCGATTGGGTGTGGGATTGTTGGTGGCACAGTTGCATGAAGAAAACACCAACCGGACCCCGGTCATCGTAGGATACTTTGCACGAGTACGGTGTCGGAGGGCGACAGTCGGGGAAGGGATTTCTTTGTCGAGTCCCCTTGGTCTTTAGCCCGTCTATAACGCCACATCACACCCCACCGAGTCCGACAACAAAGAACGAGGCTGTGTGGCTACATCAACTACGGGAAACACAACTGGCACAAAAGAAAACAATTCCAATCATATAGGACAAACTGAGAGAAAAGCACTGCTCAGTACACCAATTCTTTCTTCGCCTGAGAGATAAAAGGAAATAATATGGCTATACAGGATGGTAAGTAACACAATCAATAAAAACGTAGTCTTTTGCACGACTCCTGGATGTCGACCGACAAGACAAGTCAGTCCGAAAGCAAGATGCCAGGACGTGATCGACACTCTGAAACAACTCCTACATCAATCCATTTCCGGGGTGACGGGCTTAGTAGGTACGCTTGAAAGGAGGCACCGGCTTGCACTCGTTGGCATCCATGGTCTTGCCCTCAACGGCACGGTAGTCCAGGTCGACCTTGCCGTGGGCCTTCTTCTGCCACGTGAGGGTGTGCTTCATCCACTGCTCGTCATCACGGTCGGGGAAGTCCTCCCGGGCGTGAGCACCACGGGACTCCTTGCGGTTGGCGGCGGCGAGGGCGGTTTGGGTACTGTAGACACAAACGGTTAGCAAGATATCAAATGGCGCGTCAACGAGTATACATACGCGCAAGTCAACAGGTTGCGGAGCTCCAGGGTCTCAACCAGATCCGAGTTCCAGATCATGCTGCGGTCCTTGGTGCCGACCTGGTCATACCACTGGTCGATCTCGGTAATCTTCTCGACACCCTCGTCCAAGCTCTCCTGGGTACGGAACACGCTGACGTCCGTCTGCATGGTCTTCTGCATGGCATTCCGGATCTCAAAGGTCGACTTGGGACCGTCGGCATTGCGAGCGAAGTCGAGGTCCTTGATCGACTGGGCACCCGCGTCGGAGGACAGCTCCTTGTGGGGCTTGCCGGGAGTCGAGATGTCGCGGACACGGTGCGACACAGCACGGCCGAAGACGATCAGATCAAGCAGGGAGTTGGCACCCAGACGGTTGGCACCGTGCACAGACACACAGGCAGCCTCACCGCAAGCGAACAGACCAGGAACGACCTTGTCCTTACCCGCCTCGTCCACGGTCAGAACCTCACCAGTGTACTTGGTGGGGATACCACCCATATTGTAGTGGACAGTAGGCAGGACGGGGATGGGCTGCTTGGTGACATCGACACCGGCGAAGATCGAGGCGGTCTCGGAGATACCGGGCAGACGTTCGTGCAGAAGCTCAGCAGGCAGATGGCTGAGCTGCAGGTAGATGTGGTCCTTCTCGGGGCCAACACCACGGCCCTCGCGGATCTCCAAGGTCATGGAACGAGACACAACGTCACGCGAAGCAAGATCCTTGGCGGTAGGAGCGTACCGCTCCATGAAACGCTCACCCTCGGAGTTGAGCAGGTAGCCACCCTCACCACGCGAGCCCTCCGTGATCAGACAGCCGGCACCGTAGATACCAGTGGGGTGGAACTGGACGAACTCCAGATCCTGGTTGGGCAGACCGGCACGGGCGACCATGGCCATACCATCACCAGTGCAAGTGTGGGCGGAGGTGCAGCTGAAGTAGGCACGTCCGTAACCGCCGGTGGCCAGGACGGTGTGGTGGGCCTTGAAACGGTGCAGCGTACCGTCCTCCTGGTTGTAGGCGAGGATACCGCGGCACTCACCATCCTCCATCAGCAGATCAAGAGCGAAGTACTCGATGAAGTAGTTGGTGTTGTGGCGGAGAGACTGGCCGTAGAGGGTGTGCAGTAGGGCGTGGCCAGTACGGTCAGCGGCAGCACAGCAGCGGTAGGCCTGGCCACCTTGGCCGTACTCCTTGGACTGACCACCGAAAGCACGCTGGTAGATGCGGCCATCCTCGGTACGCGAGAAGGGGCAGCCGTAGCCCTCGAGCTCACGAACACTGGCGGGGGCCTCCCGAGTCATGTAGTGAATCGCATCCTGGTCACCAAGCCAATCGGAACCCTTCACGGTATCGTACATGTGCCATCTCCAGTCATCGGGGTGCATGCTATTCAGACTGTTAATTGCAATTCCAGCACGTGCAGATAGCGAGTTGACCTACTTTCCAAGGGCAGCGTTGATACCACCCTGAGCAGCAACCGTGTGACTTCTCGTGGGGAACAGCTTCGAAACACAGGCAGTGTTGAATCCAGCCTCGGCGAGTCCGAAGGCAGCGCGCAGACCGGCACCACCGGCACCGACAACGACGGCATCGTACTCGTGGTCCTACACACGTCAGATCATCTCTCAGTGTCCATATGGCGAAGTCGACCTACAATGATCGGGTATTTCTCGGAGATGTAGCCATTGGCCTCCTTGGCGCGCAGCGGCTGGTTGGCGAAGATGCGGGCTGGAGGAATTGCGGGTTAGCGCGACGAAAGGGGGCAACAACGCTCTCGGGATAGCGTACCAGCCGGCCGGGACGATGAGAAGAGACGTCTCTGGTCCCTCAAGACACGGGAAACCTGTGCAGCAATCACCAGTCAGTGCCGAACATGGCGAAAGCAGACGGGCCGAAAATCACTCGGGTGACCAACCTTGGATGCGGGAGCTAGGCTCCGCATGCCCAGCGAGCTCATGATGGCGGGTGGATCAGAAGGAAGACTCTAATCCGACAGAAACAAACACAAAACACCGTAACCGGCGATGGGGGGAACGGACAGAGGGGAGAGGCAGGACAGTGAGGTGGAATGCCAACTGCTGCTCCTGCTAAAACCAACGGGGCATTATGTCAGCATCCACACCCGTGATGTGCCGAGCAGACGAGCCGGGGCCAATCACGGGCGAACAATTTGATTTCCCTCGGTTGTCTCCCTAAACGAATATCCGTGTGACGCAGGACTAGTGAACTACTATAGAATAGCTGGAATTGAGGAATAGATGATGGTAATACACTCCGACTAATTGTACTGCATATATGTCGCAGTCGAGTTGAACTTCAGGTTGCCCTTGATCACCTTCTCGACCGACGCCAAAAAGTCCTTCTCCGTGGCCACCTTGCGCCGTGCCCGGATCGCGAACATGCCAGCCTCTGTCGCGACACTGCGCAGCTCGGCACCCGTCGCGTTGGGGCACAGACGGGAGATGAGCTCCCAGCGAATGTCACGCTCGACCGACATGCTCTTGGCGTGGATGCGCAGTATGTTCGCCCGGCCCTCCACGTCCGGCAGCGAGAACTCGATCTTGCGATCAATTCGACCAGGCCGCATCAGGGCCGGGTCCAGGGTGGACGGCCGGTTGGTCGCGAACATGACCTTGATGTTACCCCGGGAATCGAATCCGTCCAGCTGAGTGATCAGTTCCAGCATGGTGCGCTGCACTTCGTTGTCACCGCCCGCACCGTCATCAAAACGAGCGCCACCGACAGCATCGATCTCGTCAAAGAAGATGATGCATGCCTTCTTGGTACGGGCCATCTCGAACAGCTCGCGGACCATCCGTGCACCCTCACCCACGTACTTCTGGACCAGTTCACTTCCAATCACACGGATGAAGGTCGCATCCGTTCGGTTGGCCACCGCCCGGGCACATAGGGTCTTTCCTGTACCGGGGGGTCCGTAGAGTAGAGCGCCCTTCGGCGGGTCGATGCCCAGATTCACGAATCGTTCTGGCGACAGCAACGGCATCTCCACCACCTCTCGTAGCTTCTCAATCTGCTCTTTGCATCCACCCACGTCACCGTATGTCACGTCGGGCTTATCCTCGACCGTCATCATCGTCACGCTGGGATCGATCTTCGGTGGGAGAGGGAGCATGATCTGGTACTTATTCCGATCCACACTGTAAAGCTGTGTCAGTGACTGCGCAGCCTTCAAAACACGAACAAGTCTTACCCAACGCGCATGCCTTCCTCAATATCCGTCGGACTTACGCGCTCCCCTAGGTTGACGACGAACTTGGCGATCTGCTTGACGTTGATGACATATTTGCTCTTGTCCGAGTCCTTTTCATCCTGGATGATCTTCGTGCATCGAGCGACTTGCAATGGCTGCTCTTCGGCCATGCGTTGCCGGTCGGCAGCAACATCCCAAAGGTGTGGAGGTGCGAGACCGGTGTCGGATTCCTGGGGACATGAGCTCCTGCATTTTATGGAAGGGACTGCATCCGCACCTTGACACCAATCTTCTCGTTGACGCTTGCTTGCTTGTCTTTGATATCCTTCTCGAGCTTCTTCAAGGCTGTCGCGTAGGGGGCCGCCCCGTAGGTCTTGAGTACTGCGATGTCACTGCCGGGCCCGGGTTAGCCAGATTGACATCAACCCAGGAGCGAAACTTACTCATCTGTGAGTGGTGTGATCTTCTTCTCGGGCTCCTCGTCGTCGGCGAAATTCTTCTTGTACTTCTCCCAGCTCTCTCCCGTGGCGCTGGGCATGGTGAGAGATGATGACAGCCCCGGGCTGTGGAGCTAAGTCGGGGGTGCAGACGCAGTAGCGATATCGAGTAGTGGTGAGAAGGGAAAGCCAAACGGCTACTTTGGGGGAACTCGAAAGCAGGGACTGACAGCGGATGAAGAAGTGCAGGGGGAAGAGA